GGAAGTCTCTCATCGAAACTAACTTGGCGCTTCAAGAAGGCGACGTGGGCAGTAGACTTCCCACGGCTCGATCCTGCTCGAGCACAAGCAGCCAAGTTGTTCGGGCTGGCTATGTCTGACGAGGCTCGTCGTGTGCTAGAACAAGGATACGCGCAGACGAAAGCTGCGACGGCCTCGCCGGATTATGGTGCATTGAATTTGGTCAGAACGGCCAATGCGAAACTCGGCTACATTAGTCCTGACCTCCTCCCCGATGTGAGAGTCCTGAACAATATGATTAAGTCGCCTGCAGCTTACGTTGAATTCAAGAACTTCGACGAGTCCCATGCAGGGACGGCAACGAAGCAACGCATCCGGCCCACGGTAACTGGGTCAGTAGTAGTGGTTTTAGAGGAGGTGAAAGAGGGCAAGGACAAAGAGAATCCTACCCCCAGGTTCAGCATGGGCAAGTGGATGATGCAGTTCGCCAGATATTCAACTGCACTTATGGTTGTAGATCCTGAGTGCGCTCAGAATAGCACCGTATTTTCGAGGTATCAACTAGAGATTGGCTATTTGGCTGATGAGTCCTCTTGTCGCGATGCTCTTGAGGCCGACGCTAAGCATCGAAGGTCTATCTCGAAGCGAGTTATGTCGGGTATTCCTCTGTGGAGCTGCTTTACCGAGGGTCAGTTCAGAAGTTTCTTTGATAGATGCTTATCTGAGGCCGCAGGGAGGAAAGCGTATCGAGATGCTGCAACTCCTTCCTGGAGTTATAAGGGTAAAGGATACGGTAAAGGCTCTGGAAAAGGCGCTGGCAAAGCAATGAGCAAGAGCGGCAAGGGCCGCAAGGGTGGTTCGATGACATCCTGGTCATCTAGCGACAACTCATCTTGGCATCAAACTTGGGGTCCGAAGGATCAGAATATCAAGAGAGGGTCCGAAAGCTACCCTCAGGCTAGTGCCGCCAAGAAGACGAAGGCCGAGGGACACTGATGAATCATCAGTGATGATCAGTGCTCAGTGACTGACCCAACATAGGCGTGTGTTTTCATCGTGTGTCGTTTCAGTAGTTTTCTTTCCGTTTCGTGACATTGCTCTGTTTTGCGTGTCTATGAGTGTTACATTAAGAAATGGGAGTCAACGGAGTCATACTGGTATAGTATACCACACCTGACGTGCCCATTATGAATCCTGATTCACTATGGCGTCAGCTCAACGCTGGAATATACGAACTTCGTATTACGAAGGATACGTGCACCCGGCATGCAAAAAAAAATTCTAACAAAAAAAAATTTTGTAGCATGTAGTAGAGGTCAAATGAAGACCTAATGTAGTTTGCTTGTTTCTATTCGATGGCTAAACGTCTGCGTAGTGAGGCAGCCCTCCGTCGCCGTAAGGCCAAAGAGCGCACTAGGCGGGCATTGCTCCGGGCCAAGACCCCCAAAGCGTTCAAGCCGCCGGCGCGTGCATCGGCGGCGTCTACCACGTCACCTCCCGGTAAAGAGACTCCCTTTGCCCCCCATAAGAACGTTGATCATCCGGCTGATCGACGTGCTATCGATCTCTACAAGACGGCTTTTGCTTTGGCTGAGTCCGAGCAGGTTGAATTATTGGAGAAGATTTCGGATGGAACAGCGAAATCCTCCAAATGCGACTGGGGTAATTTGAAAGGATCTGCTGCTCACCAGCTCGAGCCCCCTCATCAGCTGGTGGAGATCAGAAATATGTTCGATAGAGCGACAAATGAGATACTCAGTACCAGAGCTGGTGACAGTCTTCTGAAATGGATACAGCTCGACCGTGAGGAGCAGGGCAAGCAGCAGCATGTATGGGATGAACTGGGCCCAACGTTAGCCACCGCTGCTACCTCTCTAAGAGAAAATCTATGTGATCTACTACACGTGTCAGAGTCGTCAATTCAAGACTGTGATTTCCAAGCCGGGCTTCTGAAAGCTATGCTTTTGGCAACTGCGGATATCGACGAGTCCGAAGACGTAGAACTCTTGGACGAAATAATGTTACAAGGCGGAGTGATATCGGCATCACATCCCCAGTTAGTTCCAGTGGTTGG